ACAAATTTACTTATTTTATTGAAAATAATGAAAAAAATATTATAAGAAATAAAAATTTAGTACTAAATTAGCGATTTGGAAATAAAATTAAACGTTGAATCTATAATTAAGACCACAGTAATGACGGAACCACGTAATTTTTCGGACGCTATTATCTTAGTTTTGCAATAGTGAGGGTTGTTTCCCTGTTGCATAACACCATTCAATTAAGTAAGGAATGCTCATTATAATAGTTCCTGACAGTACTTATACATGTAACAAAAGTAACTATATTGTTGTTGTCAAAGCAAGAAGACTAAATAATAATATAATATTAGTATTCTTGTGTCAAAGTAACTCGTGAGGTTTCATTATAAATTGTATGATTTTGAATAGGTAGTTTATTGACTGGATTAATGTTCTGCGCATCAATAGTTACTGTTCCCTGTACCTAACGATCTTAAAAGATATACATTTATTATTTTAAATTGGAACAATATTTATTCTATAGTGCTACTTACATTTATTTTTTTAAATTTAGTTAGGTATAGGTAACTATTATTTAATATCACAATATTGTTTTTTAAACCGGTTTAGATAAACCATAATTTATGTAAAAATTTATTCCATTTATAAATTAACATACAAATACTTAAATGTTTTAAATGAGATTTATTTAATAATTTGTTTTATTTTTAATGGCAAGTAAATGCAATATATATTTTTAAAATAATTACTAAGGAAAAAACAAAATCAAATCATTAAAAAAAATATCTGAAAAATTTAGGTAGGTAGGTATATTATCTTTTAATTTTTTTTTAATTTATTGTGTACTGTGCTCTACATCCAAAAGCCCACTTTGACATTTGATTGAGGAACGTAGATTCATAATGTTGTCTTATAGCGGTCTTATAGCGGTTCTCACGGTGCTATTTCCATCTTCTATTATAAAATACAAAAAAATGACATGGAATCGTAAAAAAATACTTAAAATACACAGGATTTTTGAAGATATGAACCCATATTTTGCACACATCTTATCTTTAATATTAGCTTCTTTTTAAGCGCCTATTCAATTTGTATTTATTAGATTAGATTTTAAAGTTGCGCGAGGTTTATTTTTGCCCCCAATTTCTATGACACTGGAAATTGGCATTTTAAAAGCACATTTTGAACTAAAAATATTTTTTAAACCCAAAGGTACTCTTGGTCAAAAGCTCTGACGTGGACCGTTTTAGAGAAAAACGGCATTTTATGATGAAAACATGAAAAAAAGTTGTTATAGAAATTAGGGATAAAAACACTGCACGCAACCCTAAAACCTCGGTCACTTGTATATGAAAGTTGAGGTGGGGCTTAAAAAGTAGCTCATATTTATGATAAGATTTGTACAAAACCTGAGTTCTGTATCTTAAACGGTTCCTGAGATCAACTTTTTGACACCTTGTATCTCAAAAAGGGTTCATTTGCGGACCCATGTTAATAGAAACTTTTTTCTTAGAATTAGACATATAATCACATAGGGTGAAGTGGAGTAAATGTAATCTTGGGGCAAGTGTAATCAGGCACCCTGTATTTTTTCTCATGAAATTTTTGGCATTTTTTTATTTAAAACTCAAAAATATAACCCTTCTTTTACTCATTCGTGGATTTTTTACCTTTTTTGGGGATCTGGCTGCAAAATAAAAATTTTTTTTAAGTTAACTTTTATTTATTTGTCTTATGAGTGTCACCTAAAATTTTTTCTTTTAGATTCCTGCTATGAATATTAAAAAAGGGTTCAAATATTTTGCTATCCTGGGTTATTTTACAAGAGGAATTCAGTCCTGCTACCAGATTTTGATTTGAATGATGACAACAAAATTTACAGTAGTGATTACATTTACCCCAGAAAATCTATACATGGGGTAAGTGTAATCACAGAGTCAGGGGTAAATGTAATCGGTGATTATATTTGCCCCAGTCTCTAATATTTGGCTTTAATTTATAATTTTGTAATGTATTCTTGTTTGCTTCAGATTTTTAGTGAAGAAAACACCAAAGTTTTATTCCCTTAGTATGTACCACAAAAAAGCTTGTAACTTGCTTATCATACAAGATATAAATTTGTTCTTTATTTCGTTAAAATCAGAATTTTGTATTCTATATTACACTTGCCCCAGACACATTAGCACGATTTCTAGTTAGCAACTACGAGTCGTGATTACACTTGCCCCAAATGCTGGGGCAAGTGTAATCATCACACTCGGTCCAGCATTATTATTTATATATAAAAGAATAAGGCGGTTAGAAAAATAGTTTTACTTGCATTTCTTAAACAACTAAATAAGCAATAATCTCGCAAAAAATAGGCCCTGTACCTTTATTGGTTCTCTAGTTATTTTAGTTTAAAGTTGAGGTATCATTTTTTTGATTACACTTACCCCACTTCACCCTACATGTATTTTATTTTCCGATACAAATTAGATCGTTATCGGTTTGAATTGAGCTTAGGCTTTTAAAAAGTTCTACATTTTACGGAATTTGTATAATGCATTATTTGGATAACGCTTATCGAAAAGAAACCAAGCGCCAAAAACTTAGTAAAATAACTCATTTTTAATAATGCTCAAAAAGTTGATTCATCATTTGGAACTTTTCTCAAAAGGATTAAGAGGGTTCCCAAATCATTATTAATTTTTTGAGCAGCATTAAAAATGAGTTATTTTGCAAATAATTTTGTTTACCCCAGAAAAAGTTTTTGGTGCTTGGTTTCTTCTAGATAAACGCTGTCCATTTATTCTTAGCCCTGGGTGAAAACTGCACTACATACGCCATTTTAAGACAAATTTATTTCTTTGCAAATTCTTGTCCCTTAAAAAATGTTTTAAGCAGTCGAATAAATATTAGATTTTTATTTTTAAAAAGTATGCAATTAATTTAAGGTATTTCTTTAATGCTCACCTAAAATAAGAAATAAAAAAAGAAACAAGGAGAAGGAGGAGGATGAGGGTACATGGTTATCTGTATTTTAGTAGATTGATGAAAATCATAGATATAGGATTATACGAGCCCTAACCACATAATGTTCGGACACTTCATAATTTATACAGAAATTTTTTTCGTGAATACTATCTCAAAATTATTAGAAGTTATGAAAAATTCAGCTTATTTTGGCATATACTCCTCGAAGCGATTTTTATTTTTTAAAAGTTTACCTTTTATTTTTAGCTTTTAAAAAAAGGCTAACTTTTTAACTTTTTTTTGTATGAGTAAAAAAAGTTATAAATGGACCCATTAAAAAGAGAATAAAATATTATACAAACCCTGAAAATTTGGTAAAAAATAAATAAGTTATAAAAAAGTATAAGTAATTTAAAAATGCTATTTTTAAAGAGTTTTTGCAATTTTCTTAGGAAACGGGAGATTTTGCAGATATATATATCGCTATAACTTTCTTATTATTTATACAATTTTTACCAAATTTTCAGGGTTTGTATAATATTTTATGTTCTTTTTAATGGGCCCATTTATAACTTTTTTTACTCATGCAAAAAAAAGTTAAAAAGTTAGCCTTTTTTTAAAAGCTAAAAATAAAAGGTAAACCTTTTAAAAATAAAAATCGCTTCGAGGGGTATATGCCAAAATAAGCTGAATTTTTCATAACTTCTAATAATTTTGAGATAGTATTCACGAAAAAAATTTCTGTATAAATTATGAAGTGTCCGAACATTATGTGGTTAGGGCTCGTAATATGTCGATATAGTCTATGTCACGTTACCTATGTCAATTTGTCAGTAACACAAAACACAATTATATTTTATTATAGTAGGTTATGTATCGACTGTAACGTAAACAAACTACAGCGACACTAAACGAGATCGCCAACGCCATGGCTCCATGGCCAACACATAAAACCAATTCACATACCTATTTTATCCTTCTGCGCAATTTTATATGCAAAAATAGGGGCCAACGTTAAAAGTTATTTATCTGTAGTCTTATTGCTTATTTCTTATTGTCTTGAACATGAACGCAACCATTACTTTACAAAGTTTTTAAGTTTTTATCTTATTTCTTATTTTAAGTGAGTACGAATACGCCTTAAATTATAAATAAGCATAACGATATCCTTATGCTGTGGCATAAGGATATTAAATCGTGTGTGAAATAAAAATTAAAATATGGAATTTTGTTTTCTTTACAGGACCTTTGGACTATCACCGCCTGGAACTAGCCTTTACATCGTGGGCCAAACTTAAGGAGGCATACAAACACAAGCACGCAATCAAATTTTGTCCTTGTCAAACATATAGGGTCACAGTCTCAATTATCAATTAGGCTCTTGCAATAAATAATAAGTCGCATTTACACAGGCACACATTTAAACTTGTTGACAAGACGTCGTCGACGACAAATGCCTTTGCTGTTTGTCGTCCAAATTAAGCCTAATTTAAGTAATTCATACAGCGATGGATTAAGCATTTAATCAAACAAGTCAGTACATTAAGAATCTTTCCCAAGCGTGGAGTTCTTTTTTTTATTTTGTTTTTTTGTCAGTTGGTGGTTGCAGAGTGTCTTCATCCTGAATGTTTGGTTATTTACTGTGCCGTTAATATTGTGCCATCGGTGTCGTTCTTCGCCAAAATGGCACTTCCATCTCAATCATCTTGAGATCCGGTTACTGTTGCATTCACGTGCACCCTTAAACAGAAGGGGTTGACTGTATTGTTTTCGTAATTCTTTGTAATAAATGGATATTGAATCTTGCTACTTGCAACTTAAAATGCTAAGCATCGACAACACGTTTTTGCAAAATCATCGTCAACGCGAAACGACTGGAATAAAAAAGTTGTATAATTCGTTTTTCGTTATGTTTTAAAAATCGTGCCTGAGGACCAATTCGCAGGACTTAAAATTTAGAGCCGGTTTTCCGAAAACCGACAAATTGGTAGACAGTGACAATAAATAGAGATACATAGTTTTTTTTTGAAGCCTTAATCTAACGAACCTCGTTTCTAAATTATCATTTTTAAATTATTATGGAGTACCATCTGTACGAAAACACGGACATTTTGTTGTTAAATGAAAATTCCCCGAGTTCGAAAAGTTCCTGGAACCTGGCTAGCGACAATAGCATGGAACCCAATGACGAATATTTCGGCTGGAACGCGTTGAAAATTGACGAGGAAAAGTTCAACACAAACACGCGCAAACGCAAGCTGGTCGACGAAGAGGAACTCAAACTCAAAACATCCGACTTAATAAATAAAATTAATAACAAAGACCCCCTTTCCCTTGACGAAAAACCAACGAACGTCAATAAGAAGGCTTCAATACATAAGGGTAGGTATAACAGAAAACAAAATTTATTCACTTTTGTTTGTTTGTAAAAAACATACCAATATAATGAAAAATTGTATGTGTTCCAAAATACTGTATTTTATTTATTATTTAAGTTAATAGAGAAATTATTATGTGAATTTAAATTTTATAATCCACTTATCGATTCATAGACCAGTGCAGAAGCCTTTAAAAATGGTAAAAAGAGAAAAAAAATAACAGTAGGATGAAACCCATTGGAAAAGGAGGGGAATATAATAAAAATTAAAGGAAAAATAAATTACGGGCGATCTGAGTTCGGGAAGTGGGAGGGGGGGGTTTAAGGGTAAAACATGGTTTATCTCGATTTCCGGCAAAACTACAAGTCCTATGGAAAAAAGTTAAATGTCAAAGTTGTAGGTAATAAAAAGATCTACAACTTTTGTATTTACAATTTTTTCACATAACCTCAAAATTTATGTGAAAAATTCAAAAAACCAAGTTTTTGGTTTTTTATTTTTATCTTTTTCAAAAAAAAATTTTTTTCCACGAAATTTGGTGAAAACTTACCTTTTTATGTCCCAAATACACTGTAATTTATTTGATTTGAAATATTTATTATTTCGCCTTATTTTGACTTAATATCAAAAAAGCACCCTAATTTTCAATCGAAAATTCTCGCGTCAAAATATCAGCCTTTTTCAAAAAGTCGGTGTGCTTTTTGTTCTCTACTTTCTGATGGTGTAAAAAAAATATACATTACTATGGTAAATGTTCTTAGAAAATACAAAAAATATTATAATAAATAACGTAATCAGAATGAAGTATCTAAATTCAATAGTATGATTTACATGTATTTTTATATTTTATGAGATTTTCTGACATAAATTTTATTAGAATTTAATAAATAAACTTTTTAACTAAAAAAAATTGCAACAATCACATTTTTTTGATGAAATTGTACATAATGAATAAAATAAATTTTCGAATTCGAGTTTTTTTCGTTATTCATTATAATATTTTTTGCATTTTCTGAGAACATTTACCATAGTAATGTATATTTTTGTACACCATCAGAAAGTAAAGATTTCAACGAACAAAAAGCACACCGACTTTTTGAAAAAAGCTGATATTTTGACGCGAGAATTTTCGATTGAAAATTAGGGTGCTTTTTTGATATTAAGTCAAAATAAGGCGAAATGATAAATATTTCAAATCAAATAAATTACAGTGTATTTGGGACATAAAAAGGTAAGTTTTCACCAAATTTCGTGGAAAAAAATTTTTTTTTGAAAAAGATAAAAATAAAAAACCAAAAACTTGGTCTTTTGAATTTTTCACATAAATTTTGAGGTTATGTAAAAAAATTGTAATTACAAAAGTTGTAAATCCTTTTATTACCTACAACTTTGCCATTTAACTTTTTTCCATAGGACTTGTAGTTTTGCCGGAAATCGAGATAAACCATTTTTTACCCTTAAACCCCCCCCCTCCCACTTCCCGAAGTCAGATCTCCAGTAATTTATTTTTCCTTTCATTTTTATTATATTCTTCTCCTTTTCCAATGGGTTTCATCCTACTGTTATTTTTTTTGGTTTCAAAAATTATCGACCCTGGTCTATCAATTTGAAAGACACTTTTCGCAGAATTATATCAGAGTGATTTTCATCATGCCAGTTCCAAAAAAATACTCGTCAGAAATGTAGGTATATACAGGGTCTTACTCAAGTATGTACAATAAGTTTGACAGACGATTATTGGGGTGGTTTTAAGACAAAAAGTTCATATAAACATGGATCCACAAATGCTTCGTTTTCAAGATATAGGGTGTTAAAGTTTGATAAACCTTGTAATTTGGCAGTGTTATTTGTAGTGTTAATGGGCTAATTTAGCTCCAACTTGATTAAATTTATTATTATTAAATCCAGTGTCATGTACGCCACTGACTTTTTTTGTAATTTTTATATTTTTTTCGGATTAAGCAACTAAACATTCTTTTTTATCTCTTGATTTTTTTTTGTATTTTGCTTAGTTGTAGAGAAAAAAAAATAAAATCCACTTAAATGCATCTCTTTTGTGGTTGAAGGATATGCAATTATGAAAAAAAGTTGTATTTTTAGCTGCTTAATTCGAAAAAAATATTTTTATATAAAAATACAATTGGTCAGTGGCGTACATTTTTTGTCAAAAATATTTATTAAGGGACGACACTGGAATTAATAAATTTAATTAAGTTAGAGCTAAATTAATCTTAATATTAAAGCATTGGCAGACCCATGTTTATATTAACTTTTTATCTTAAAATCACTTAAAGATCATCAGATTCTGTTAAATTTACTGGGCATACTTAAGTAACACCCTGTATAATATAGTAGTTATAAAATATATATATATATATATATATATATATTATATTTTTTATAACTACCTACCGCGTGGTATGGCGTTAGTGCGCCATTTTAAAGACAACCTTTAGAAATGATAATATGAAATTTTTATTTTTAAAACAATGTCATAAAATACGGCCATGTCAATTATAATTATTATAATAGCTTATAATTATTTTAATAGCTTAAGCTTGTTTCCATAAAAACTATAAAAAAGGCATTCCCTTTTTTAAGGAAATACTTTAATAGCGTATTTTTTAATTTCTGAAAATTGTGATATTAAATATTATTATTTTAATATTATTGCATGATTGCTTTGTTCCACACTCACGTGGAATTGATACATTATACGCTTAAAAACAATAAACAAAGTAAGCTAGTGTTGCTTTCACTAATGAGAGAATGTAAAAGAAGAAAAAGAATAGAAATAAGACAATTGTAGAAAAAGAAATTACAGCAATTTTTTTACATACATATGCATACAAAATATTATGCGAAACTCGTGAATAATGGTTAAATATGAACTCGCTTCGCTCGTGTGTCAAGCGAATGCTTGTTTATAATCGACCATTTTCTCTACTTGTTGAACAATATACTATTTTTTATAAATAAAAATGTATTATCTTAAACCAAACTATTTTTGTAAATATAAAAAAAATCACACAATTCTATAAAAGGCAATAAAATGCGCTACGTTAATTCCAATAAATCACTGTACCGAATAAGCTGCTTCGTTTGAATAATGTCAAATATATTAAGCAATTGTTTCTTAATTTATACCAGTTAATAGTGACCACTTAAATGCAAAATATTTAGTCGACTATGGCCGCAATTAATTTGATCTTGTTAAAGGCGACATTTTTATTTCGCCTTAGTGAAAAAGAAACACTGTGTGTACTTTTTGATGTTAATAAATATTTATCGGTTTAAACTAGCTTGTACTTGAATTTGTTAAAACCCTCCACTTATTTATTTTTTAATCTTAAAATACCATTGGATGACTGGTTTGTTGTATTGTATGAAAACGGATTGTTTGGAGCAATTTAAACGAATTGACCCCTAAGAAATTAGTTTTAGGTTTCAATTAAATTGTGAATTATTATTTTATTTTTTAAAGTTTTTAATTATACTTTTGTCATGATTACATTGTACCCAATGGCCAAGGTGCTCCCGCCACACTCTCTCTGGAAGATTTTTTAATGAACTTAAAATACTTAATCGCGTGGTTAGTGCGTCATTTTCGTGACAACCTGTATATTATTTTTGCAGTTTGAATTAAAATACTATAAATAATTATCAATTTAATTTTTAAGTTTCCACTTCAAAATAATAATTTAAAACGCAAAATACATACATAATATATTATTATATAATACGGTTAAAATTATCGCAAAACACATTTTAAAATTAATTAATTTATTATTAAACAAATATTAGAAATATTCCCCAACACCAAAACACAAAGTGCTTAAAGTACTTTTCGCTTTTCGTTGTTGGCATCTTCAGAATCGAAGTGTAAGTTACACTGTGTAGGTAAGTTACCTAAGGTAACTACCATATTTAATAAATATTATTTTACTAGTGATAAGCTAAGGTTGACTGAACCGTAAACGGACACAGTTTACTAAACCGTGGACCGTAACCGCTTTATTGAACACGTAAAGAAAAACTAACAAACTAATTTATACAAACTAGTGTTAGGTACCTGTCCGTTATCGCTATTTAAAAATTTATTTCTATTCTTATAGATGGATAAACTTTCATAACTATCAAGCAGACTTGGTTTCCTAACTTCCTTAATAAGTTTAAGGTTGTTAAATCCTATTCCCAATCCTATATTCTTGTCACAATCGTATTTCGTATATATTCTTTATAATTTATGATATCCCCGACTTTTCAATTTTAGGAATCTTATCGTTTGGTTTGCCTAAAAGGGTCTGAAGTGTGTTACTGCTTGAACTAAAAGCAATTTTGAAGTCCAGTTTTTGAAAAATCCCTTCCAGACCTCGAGTGTACTGGGGTTCGAAAGGAATGGTCATAAACTTGACTTTTGTGGGCTCTAAATTTAATTTTATTTACCAACTTATCTACTAGGGTGGGTTCAAAACCATTGTCTCTAGCAATGTCTTTTATAAAACTGAGCTTTTCCTTGTATCTACTATTACTAAGTGGAAAGTTTACTAACCTACGAACAAGAAAATTAAAACTAGCCTGCTTATATTGTGTACCTACTGAATACTGTAACTGTTACAGTGGTTTGAGTCAGATGCGAAAGGTAATTTTTCTACGACCACTATGTAAAAGTCACTTTTCATGATGGCCTCGTTGCTTAGAAAATGAATCTTTTCATTGGCAAGGCAAAACACGAATGTAAAGTGACATTTCTGTGTGAAAAGTGACAGGTCTGTGTGAAAAGAACCGGAAAGCATCGTTTGACATTCAGCTGTCAAAAAAGTTTTTAGGTTATTTTGTTTTGTATTTAAAAATAATAAAAAATAAAAGGGTCGCAGAAAAAACATTGTGTTATACTTGTGAGAAAAGCTTTCTTCAAGCTCGTGTTAATGCACACTCGGCCTAACGGCCTCGTGGGCAACTTAAAAACTCGCATGAAAAAGTCGCTTTTCAACACTTGTAAAA